GCCAACATCCGCTACCGCTTCGTCAATGAGCGGGCTGCTCATGCCATCTTTGAGATCGACCCCCGCTCTGGCCTCATCACCACCAGCGGGCCGGTGGACAGGGAGAAGATGGAGAGGTACTCCTTGGTGGTGGAGGCGAACGACCAGGGGAGGGAGCCGGGGCCCCGCTCCGCCACGGTCCAGGTCTATATCACGGTCCTCGACGAGAACGACAACACCCCTCAGTTCAGCGAGAAGCGCTACATCGTCCAGGTGAGGGAGGACATACGGCCCCACACCGAGATCCTGCGTGTCACTGCCACGGACCTGGACAAGGACAACAATGCGCTGGTCCACTACAACATCATCAGTGGCAACAGCCGGGGTCAGTTCTCCATCGACAGTGTCACTGGGGAGATACAGGTGGTGGCTCCGCTCGACTTTGAGGTGGAGCGGGAGTACGCCCTGAGGATCCGGGCTCAGGATGCGGGGCGCCCTCCCCTCTCCAACAACACCGGCATGGTCAGCATCCAGGTAGTGGACATCAATGACCATGCCCCCATTTTTGTCAGCACCCCTTTCCAAATCTCTGTCCTGGAGAATGCTCCCCTCGGACACTCTGTTATCCACATCCAGGCCGTGGATGCGGACTACGGCGAGAACTCGCGCCTGGAGTACAAGCTGACAGGGGTCTCGGCTGACACACCCTTCGTGGTGAACAGTGCCACGGGGTGGATCACGGTCAGCGGACCCTTAGACCGGGAGTCGGTCGAGCACTATTTTTTTGGGGTAGAGGCTCGGGACCACGGCTCTCCATCTTTATCTGCCTCCGCCAGCGTCACCATTACTGTCATGGATGTCAATGACAACCGCCCCGAGTTCACTCAGAAGGAGTACTTCATCCGCCTGAACGAGGACGCAGCTGTGGGGACCAGTGTCCTCAGCGTCACAGCAATCGACCGGGATGTGAATAGTGCCATCACCTACCAGATCACAGGAGGCAACACACGGAACCGCTTCTCCATCAGCACGCAAGGCGGGATGGGGCTCATCACTCTGTCTCTGCCGCTGGACTACAAGCAGGAGAGGCGCTACGTGCTCACCGTGACGGCCTCCGATCGCACCCTGCGTGACAACTGCCACATTCACATCAACATCACCGATGCCAACACGCACCGGCCTGTGTTCCAGAGCGCCCACTACTCTGTGAGTATCAATGAGGACCGGCCCGTGGGCAGCACCGTGGTGGTGATTAGCGCCACGGACGATGACGTGGGGGAAAACGCCCGCATCACTTACTACCTAGAAGACAATGTCCCTCAGTTTCGCATCGATCCAGACTCTGGGGCCATCACTCTCCAGGCAGAACTGGACTATGAGGACCAGGTCACGTACACGTTGGCTATCACTGCCAAGGACAACGGGATCCCCCAGAAAGCAGACACCACCTATGTTGAAATCATGGTGAATGACGTTAATGACAACGCCCCCCAGTTCGTCAGCCCTCATTACCAAGGCATGATCTCTGAGGATGCACCTCCTTTCACCAGCGTGCTCCAGATCTCTGCCACCGACCGGGATGCCCACACCAACGGGCGAGTGCAGTACACCTTCCAGAACGGGGAGGATGGAGATGGAGACTTCACCATAGAGCCCACCTCGGGGATTATTCGCACTGTCCGCAAGCTGGACCGTGAGAATGTTCCTGTCTACGAGCTGACTGCGTATGCTGTGGACAGGGGCATCCCTCCTCAGCGAACTCCTGTCCATATCCAGGTTGCCATTCAGGATGTGAATGACAACGCCCCTGTCTTTCCTAGGTCTTGGTAAAGGAGAACAGCATTGTAGGCTCTGTCGTAGCCCAAATCACGGCCATTGACCCAGATGAGGGACCCAATGCCCAGATCATGTACCAAATTGTGGAAGGCAACATCCCTGAGATATTCCAGATGGACATCTTTTCTGGGGAGCTCACAGCCTTGATAGACCTGGATTATGAGACAAAACCTGAGTACGTGATTGTAGTGCAGGCCACCTCTGCCCCTCTGGTCAGCAGAGCTACAGTCCACATCAAACTCATTGACCAGAATGACAACAGCCCTGTTCTCAAGAACTTCCAGATCCTGTTCAATAACTATGTGTCCAATAAGTCCAACACCTTCCCCTCGGGCGTCATAGGGAAGGTCCCAGCTTATGACCCAGATGTGTCCGACCGCCTCTTCTACACCTTTGAGCGGGGAAATGAACTGCACTTGTTGATTGTAAATCAATCGAGCGGGGAGCTGAGGCTGAGCCGTAAGCTGGACAACAACCGTCCGCTTGTGGCCTCCATGCTGGTGACTGTCACAGGTAGGGTGTGAAAATCATTACATCGTTAAACCTTTAGTGCAGTATCTGCGGGGAGCTCTGCCTGGTCCCCCTCGGGGAGCCTATTCTGTGTTGGGGGGCGGGTTGGGAACTGGCAAGAGGATTTGGACAGGGAGTCCCTTCCAGTCAGGGAAAAATACTGGAGGGGTTGGGAAGGGTGGCAGTGAGGGGCATGCTGCAGGGGAGTGCTCTGTAAGGGGACTGAGGCCGGAGGTGGTCTGCAAGAACAAAGCATTGTTACTTGGCTGCGAGGATTGCTTGTAGCTGCTAGTGAGAAACCTTTGGAGGTGCTGTCATCAGCGAGGCCATGATGTGCACCGTAGGGTGCTGGCCGGGCAAGCAGCTGGTTCCCAGGGTGGCCAAGCTGCCAGCCGAGGGGCTGGCACGCTGCTTCGCTCCCAAGCCCGGTTGGCTCTTCTGCCTGCCAGGACCGAGCACTTCCCCGGCTGTGCTTGGGAGGGAGGGATTGAACTCTGTGCAGAGGGAGCCCTCCGAAAGATGCTCGTCTGCTGGTAGTAAACGGTTGAGTCCGGTTTCTGGCTGTGGCACCTACCGACACCTGCGCTTTGTGATGCAGCTTCTAAAACCTGATACCACCTTTCTGCAGCCAACTGAGCCTTGCAGGGGACAGCTGTGACAAACCTCAGAGCACAGCGCGGTGCTTAAAACTCTCGCATCGTGTGTGTTGCCGGAGTATCCAAATGCAGATGCTAGCTGTAGCTGCCGGGGTGGCTTTGGGAAGTGTTGGGGTCCCGTCCGTCCCAGCTGAGGGCAGGGCAAAGATGGACCTAGGGGCTTGTCTGTGAGCAAGTGGGGTTTGGACCTGCAGCTCCCCACTGCCTGAGCTTTGCCTTCACCATCAGCCTTTCTTTGCTCATGGATGCGTGATCTGAAATGGAGGCATCCGTCCATGGCTGAACCGAGGAGCGGCTCTCGGGGAGGGAGGGCAAGAGCCCTCTTTGGAGGGGCCAGGCGCCGAATTACTAAGAGAGCCTGAGGAGCCGTACATTAAACCGTGGTGCTCCCCTGACCCCTGGCTACCAGCTGCCCTTGCTTTTTACCTCTCTCTATCAGGCTTATTCAGTAAGGGGAAGATTTCTTTCAAAAGATGGAGCGAGGGCTTTAAGAGGAGACCTGTTCAAGGCAATCCTGCATGGCCAGCACCAGCCCGTTGGTGGATTTGGGCTCTTGGGGGATTAATTGGAACCACCGGGGTGGCTGAGAGTGGGTACAGGCACACACATGCCCATCCCTGGAGATGGGGGGTGGTTTTGACCTTTCCAGCTTCTGCCGAAATGTGTTTATGCAAGCCCTGCCTCCTTGCACACTTAACCCTGCACAAAGACAGGAGACAATCACGTCCCGAAGTCCTGCGTTGAGCCGCCTCGCGGCGAGGGGGCCTTTGCAATGAGAGTGTCGTCATCTTTCACCAGGAGGGGAGACTGGGAGAGGTGCGCTCATGAAGGAGGGGAGAAGATGGAAGAGGAAGAGCTGTACTGGGAAGGGAAGCGAGACACTGGAAAACAGGCCTTTTGTGGGCTTTGATACTGGCTGTGGAGGTGGAGGGCTGGTTGGGTTTTTCAGTTTTTATTGTTCGAAGCCCCTCGC